ATCCTTAGGATATGGGGAATAATAATAAGAATAATAATAGTAATAATACTAATCTTGATAATACTAACAATAATAATAGTAATAGTAGTAGGAATAACAATAATAACAATGATAGTACTACTAATAATGCGAATACTATTAATCATATTCATAATAATAATGTCAATAATAAGTTTGATAATATTACTACTACTACGACCAATACTACTAATAATAATAGTATTACTACACGAAGAAGGAGGATGATGAGGAGGAAGAGAAGAAGGTGGAGGTGAATGATACTTTGGAGGAAGAAGAGGGGGCCTCTGAGGGTCTGTTGGAGTCCTCTTGGGAACTCTTGCGGGCTTCCTGGGGTCTTCTCGGGGGCCTGTGCGGGGCCTGTAGGGACTCCTGGGGCCAATGGGGAGACCCTCTGGGGCCTGCCTCTCGGGGCCTCGTGGCTTGCGGAGGCCGTCTCTGGGGCCTCACTGGGCCGCCTTGGGACCCCCTGGGGGCTCTTCAGGGCAGGCTTGGAGATCTCTGGTGGGGGCCAATGGGCCCATCTTGGGGCCTTCTTGGCCCTGCGTGGGACTCTCTAAAGGGTCTCTGGGGCCGTCTTGGGGCTATCTGGCAGGTTTCTGACGCCGTCTTGGGCTGCCAGACGCGTGGACAGGCGAGAACGCGAAGACCATGAAAACATCAACCGGCAAACCTTCCTGGAGCTCTCTCAGGCCCTATCGGGGGCCTCTTGGGCCGTCTTGTGGCCATCTTGGGCCGTCCTGGGGTCATCTTGGACCGTCTTGAAGGCATCTTGGGGCCATCTTGGCCTCTCTTGGGTCCGTATTGGCCGTCTCAGAGGCGTCGTGGGATAATCTTGGAGTCCTTCTTGGGCCAGTTCGGCCAGCTTGCAGGCGAGTTTTTCTGGCTGTGTGAGCTTTTTCGAAGGGCCAAGAAGTGTTTAACAAGTCGGCACCACGCCAAGAACCTCTTCGCAAGCAGACAGGGGCTGTGGATAAGTTAGTTAGTGGCCGTCGGCCTATCCTGCCACCTTGGCCGAGTCGTGGAAGCGACGCCTCTTGGATGCCTCTCGGGGCCTCTTGGGCCGCCTCATCAAACATTGAGCTACTGAGTAATGAATGCTCGAACTGTCCTGGGGACACTGCACTTAGGTGCCTCGCGGCACGGTGGCGGATTTCGACGTGTTCTACGATATAAGTTCCTTGGCGTGGGCCGCGCTGAAGTACGACACGCCCTACGGCACTACACCCTGCTGGCGGGTTCAAGGGCAAGGAGATCGAGAATTGTGAGCCCGCGTTGAATACTCTGATGAACAAGTGAGTTGACGCGTTTAGCGCCCTCCAGTTGCTTGTTTCTTGAATCACTGCCGTCGTTGGTTCGGTCTTGACGCCTGAGCAATCGCAGCCAGTCGCAAATGTAAATAACGGACCTGGCGCAACTTCAAGCATGATAACCAGTTGCGCTGCCGCGCGAGATGTTTGCACTGGCCTGTGACTGGAAGGCAGGAAGGTGAACGCATGTTAGGTTCGATGCGTCAGGGCCCTTCAGTTTTATTTCGCAAGAAGCGCAACTTAATCTATTCATCTATATGCGTATAAACATATATGAGAGATCCCGGCCCAGGGCCCCTGGGTCGGGACCTCCCTTGTACGACGGTCCCCCCCCGCCCCGTGGCGCTCTCCGGGCCGCCCTTCGAGGCCCTGAGACGGCTCGAGATCGCTCCCAAAGCGTCCAAGGTAGCCTCCAGGCAGCCGGGAGGCTCCCAAGACGCTCCCAGCCTGCCCCAAGAGCGCTCCAAGACGGCCGCATGTGACATCCCGACGGCCCACGAGACGCCCCAAGATCCCCAGAGACTCCTCAAGACGGCCTCGCGAGGCCCGAAGCGTCCAATTCCCAAGGGGAAACGTACAGTTTCACCACATTCACTTCTGCAGTCTTCACCGCGCGAACACAGCCCAAGAGACCCGCAAAGTCGTCCGGGGACGGCCCAAGAGGGCTCCAGGCTCATACCACCCCCCTCCATGATCTACTGCCCCCGTCTCCATGATCGACTGGCCCCGCGCGCTCCTCTCACGATGCCGCCTGAGAATGCCCCTGGCATACAGCCGAAACGCCCCGGTTTTCTCAATTCTGTTATTTCGCGCCCGCGCGCCCAGCGACATTCACTGAGCCTCGGCGGTAGCCCAGCGCTCGCGCGTACTGGCGCGCTTATTTTGGTTTGAACTGAGCGCCGTTGGGCCAGGGCTGAGACAGGGCGGGCCGCGCCAGGGCTGCGGCCCGGCCCACGGTGGGCCACCTCGGCACATTTTCGTTGTCGCGCCGAAGGGATTTTCGCTCGAGCGGCCTCGCGTGTCGTGCGAAGGTACTTCGCGCAGACAGCATGCTCTCGGCCGGCTCACGCTGGCGGCGGCGCGCCCGGGGGGAGTGACCCTTCGCTGAAGTGACCTCGGGCGCGGGCTCACGAGAGTCGGCCTGGCACCGGCCTGCACACTTGGATTTGGCCTCCCCGCGACCCCGAACGACTTCAGAGACAGGACATAGTTAGTCGTGCATTTTGGCCGTAGGGGTACTTGATGTTGTCGAGTGAATCAGGCAAACGAAAAAAAGACGGCCAAGATGGCCCCAAGACGGCCCAAGAGGCCACCAAGAGCCCCTTGTACGTGTCTGGGTTCCCCGCATTGGGAGCCTCCGAGAGCGCCCAGAGAGGGTCTCAAGACGGGCACGAGAGGCCCAAGAGGCCCTCAAGACGAGCAAAGAGGGCCCCGACACGGTATAAGAGCGCTCGAAGAAGCTCAAGAGAGCTTCAAGTAGGCCCAAGCGGGTCCTTAAACGCTTTCGAAGAGCAACATTTTGGACCCCCAAGAGGGCCCCAAGATGCCCAAATCATATATGTTCTATTGGTTGTTAACAGTGTTAGCGATATCGATGTTCCGGTTTTTTATGCACCAAGACAGTCCAAGAGGCCCCCGTGACGGCCCGACTACGACCCAAGAGAGCGCCAAGACAGCCCAAGAGGCCCCAAGTCGGCTGACGAGACTTTCAGGACGGTCCCAAGGCATGGGCAAGAGCGGGGATCCAAGCGTACATTTCGAACCCAAACACCAAGAGCCCCGGGGGGGTCCCCCGAGACGTCCCCAAGAAGGCCCAAGAAGCCACTAGGGGACCCCCCAGAAACCCCAAGAGGCCCCCCCCCCGCAGAAGCCCCCAAGAGCCCTCCAAGGGAGTCCCCCAAAAGGCATTAATTGGCTCCCAGCATGATTTTGCCACCTGTCGCGGGGCTGCGGGTCGACTGCGGGTAACCGCGGTCGCGGCCTCGGCAGGGTAGCTTTGTGTCCTGTGGTTTTGGAGGCCATGTTGCCGTCGGAATGTTCTGTCGTGTCCTGTCGCGCGTCCTGTGCGCCATGTTCTGCCTGTAGGGGCTTTCGGGCATCCCCCCCTTAGGCTGCTATGGGTTCTCCTCGTGGCTGCCTTTCGCACCTTCCTGGGAGCCTGCATGGGCGCTCGGCAAAGAGCAGCTGGGGGATTCGCCCTGCACGCGTAAACTATCGTGCGAAGTCGTGCTGCACGTCGCCGCCTCCGTGCGAAGAGTGAGCCGCGTCGTCTGCCTTGTACCTCGTGCCGTGCAACATCCGAACGCTTCCCAGCAGTCCACAATGCGGCCCACGGGATCCCCAAGGCCGCGCCCGAGACGGCTTCCACTGACCCTAGCAGTCCTCAGACGATTTGGATCCCCCCGTATCATTGACCCCCAGGGTCACCAAGGGACCTCCGTAGGGATCTCAGGGATAGTTCGAGGGGCTCTCGAGGCGGTCATGAGATCATCAAGACCGCTGAGGACGGTCCACAGGCCACGAGCTCCCCGAAGCCTCCCAAAAGTTAATTTCGGGTAGGTCAGGGCAGCCGGGTCTCACTGGGGCTGCTTATTCTGCAGCTCTTGAAGCGCCCATCAGGAAGTACGCTCCCATAGATGATTTTTGTGGGATGATATCCATCCGCGTCCGATCCTGTTACGTTGGCTTGGACTGCGCTAGAACCTAAGCGTGCGCGAAGCAGGCGGAATGGCAGGAAGGTCAAGCCGACAATTTAGCGATAACTCCTGGTTGCCTTTTCCGGCATCGCCGCTATAATGATGTTATTTAATCGCTTCGCTCATTCCGCCGGCCCATACAGTCTCATGTCTGCCGTTTGCCCGAGGGCCTGGTGTCAATGCGGCGCTTTGGGGGTTCCTGGGGCCGCTTGGGGGACTCCTGGGGCGCTCGGGGGGGCATTTGGGGGGCCTCCTGGGGCCGCTTGGGGGACTCTTGGGGGCCTCCTGAGGGCCCCGTGGGGGCCTCTTGGGGCCTCTTAGGGGCCTCGTAGGGGCTTCTTAGGGCCGAGGGCTCGAAATGTTGTTTCGTGTTCCCTCTCTGGGGCCCCTTTGGGGGCGTTCTTGGGGCCCTCTTGGACCGTTTTGGAGGCTTCTTGGGCCGTCTTCGAGCCCTCTTGGGCCATCTTGGGGCCCTCTTGGGTGCCTCTTGGGCCCTCTTGGGGCGATCTTGGGGGCCTCTTGGGCCGTCTTGGGGCGTCGGGAAGCCGAAAAGGTGGAAGCTCCAAAATCTCTCAAAAACCTATGGAAAAACAATGATTTTTGCCTCCGGGGGCCCTATTGGGAGTGCTCTTGGAGGCCTCTTGGGGCGTCTGGGGGCTATCTTGGGCGTCTTGGAGCGATCTTGTGGCATGTCGGACCCCTCGTGTACCATCTTGGGGGCCTCTTGGGGGCCTCTTGGCCTTTCTTGGGGCTCTCGGGGACGTCTCGGAGCCCTGTTGGTGCGCTCATGGAGCGCTCGGGGGGACCCGGCCGGGACCCGGCCGGGACCCGGCCGGGACCCGGCCGGGACCCGGCCGGGGACCGGCCGGGACCTGGTCGGGGTACTTTTCGTCCGGGGACCCCCAGGGGCCGCCCCGCGCGCGCGAACTAGAAAATTGTTAACCAGTTACCGGAGATCTTAGCACGCCTCTGGCCCGTTGGGCCGGCGAATTCGTTATCCTTCCTCCATGCTTACTGTTCCTTATTTTTGCATACCCTGCGCATTCTCCGCATCCTCCCCAGCTCTTTTTTGCGGAAGCTCCTCCTTGGAGAGCCTCTAGGGGCCTCACAAGAGTTGTTTCGGGCTTTCTTAAGGCCTTCTGGAGGCCTCCTGGGTGTATTCTGGGGGCCATCGGGGGCTTCCTCGGGCCAACCTGCCTCCAACCGCCGTCTCCCTGAACGACCGAATCACGATTTGGAATTCCTCGGAGGGTGTCTTTGGGCCATCTTGGGCCGCCATGGGGCTCTCTGAGGGCCATCTTGGACCCGTGTTGTGCCGTTTTGGGGCTCTCTTGGACTGCCTGGAAGCCCTTTCGGATGGTTGTGGGGCGATTTGGGCGGCTTCGGACGCCCAGAAGACCGCCGTCTTGGAGCGTCGGGAAGCCGAAAAGAGGAGAACCCCAAAATTCACCAGAAACCGTCAGAAAATCAATGATTTTTGCATCGGGGGGCCTTCTTGGGAGTGCTCTTGGAGGCCTCTTTGGGGCCGTCCTAGAGGCCTCTTGGGCAATCTTGAGGTCACGTCGGTCCCTCTTGGAGCGCTCTTGTGCTGTCTTGGGGGTCTCTGGGACGTCTCCGATGACCCCCCTGATCGCGCTAAGTGTGCTGGGAAGGCTTCGCAAAACGCCTTGCGAGGCCCGGTGGCCGCTTCGAGGCCCCGTCCGGAGGGCCCCAAAGCCCCAGGTCCTGGGAGCCCGGTTTTGGGGGGGGGGTGATGGGTTTTCCCCCCGCCCGGGTTTATAAAAATATAGGAAGAGGATATATGTCGGCAGTGCCTGGTCCGGAGCGAACCCTCCCCCCCAGTAAACTCCATCCTGGGGGGTTTCGAGCTGGCGGCACCGCCGGTGCGAGCCGGCACGAACCCCCCCGGTAAGCACGAACCCCCCCAGTAGCCGACACGAAACCCTTTGGTAAGCACGAAGCCCCCCGGTATGCACGAACCCCCCCGGTATGCACGACTGGCTCGACTGGACCCCAAGGGGGTTCCAAGATGCCACACTTCCACTGCACAGAGAACCCCTCACCCCACCCGCACCCCCGCCCCACCCCCACTCCCCATTCCCACCCCCCCACTCCCACAAGGGGGGGGTCCAGGTCGAAGCCCCCCCCCCTTGCGGCCTGCACGAACCCCCCTGGTAAAGGGACAGGGGGGGGGGGTCTGAGCCGTCGGCGGCACCCGGTGCGGCCTGTACGAACCCCCCCGGTAGTATTGGGGGGGGGTCGTGCCACGGGGCACCGCCGACATATATGAACCTTCCAAGGAAACCTATGCGGAGTCCACCTGAGCGTGCGCGACGCCGTTGATGGATAACGGTTGAGTTTCATCCATCTGCCGTAGCTATGTTGGCTCGAGACAGGCAGCGGAGTCACCGGGCGGTGCCGCCCGTCTGTGGCCGCTGCCGAGCCACTCTGTCTACTGAAAGTTCGCCGCGCCGAGCGCGGCCGCGTGCAGGCCACGCTCGGACGACTGATTCTGATCAGCCTCGCTGGCAGACTTTGCGGGCTGAGGGGAGCGAAGACCTGGCTGGGAGACGAGGATCCCGGGCGCGGGTCGCCCCTCTCCCGCGCCGCTGCTGGCGAGGAGCCCGATGGAGCGGGCAGCCCCGGGTGCCGCCGGGTGGCCCTTCCCGAGAGGGGCCTGGCTCGACGCGGCGCTGAACGGCGACCTGGTGCCGGGGCTGCCGCTGTGGGCTGGTGCACGGGTCCTGGCGCGCGTCAAGGACGACGACGGGGCGCCGCAGGGCGTCGAGATGCTCGAAGTGGAGGTCGCCTACCAAGCGGACGCCTTCGGCCGTTTCTTCAAGGGGCGGCACGTGGGCGCCAGCGACCCGTACTTCTCATGGTATGCAGCCTCCTCCGGGCAGCAGGGCGCGCGCCCCCTGGCCACGGTCTTCCACCTCTGCAAGTGCAGCGCCGCCGAGTGCGGGGCGGTCGCCCCAGTGGGCGCAGTAGTCGAGCACTTGGACGTGTGGCAGGTGGTGGACCCCCGCGATGTGGCCCGCGAGCAGGCGAAGCTCATCTGCCCGGCCGCGGACCCTGGAGCGCCTGTGCTGGCCGACGCGCCCTCGGCCGAGCCGATGCCTGGAGAGCTCGGCGGATGGCCGCTCGGGGACGGGGCCAACGAGGACGAGGAGGAGCCTCGCGGGCCACCGCGCAAGCGAGCCCGCGAGGTGGAGGGCACCCAGACCCCTGGCGGACCAGGAGATACGAGCCCGCTCGACCAGGAGCTTGCTGGGCTCGAGGAGACCGCCGAGGACCCCGAGCTCGAGGCGCGGCTGGCGCGGCTCGGGGGCAAGGCAGCTCGTGGTGGGCCGAGGCAGGGCACGCCCAAGAATGCCGCGCGCCCAGCAGGGGCCGTGGGCGAGCGCCTGGCGCAGGTGGTAGCTGGCCGAGCCGCCGCTGCTGCCCCTGCGCGCGCCAGCGCCTCGGGATCGAAGAGCAGGCTGGCGTCAGCGTTGACCGCTGCGCTCCTGGGGCGCGACGACGACGACGCGGAGGACGGCGCGGAGAGCGACACGGAGCGCCTCG